CGTTGTTGCCTCTTAGCGTAGAGCCACTGCATGAATTATTCGGTACATCACCTTTGTTCCGAACTTAGAGAATACTAGAATATGGAGGAGTGTTATTTGTCATTGAAGCATTTTCATGAGCAATTGCTGCACAAAACTTCTGCCTTTTTGGCGAAATTTTTTCTGTAATTGCTGTGATTTGCAAGCTCCGCGAAAGCCCATCGTTTATATTACAATGAGTTAGTAAAAAGTTAATCTCAGCATTCTGCTATCGATTGCTGAAGCTTAACCACAAATTTGTGAGGGATCCCGAGCCCTTCACTGTTTTCCAGCTTTGATTTATTTTTGGAAGAGCACTTGTACTAGTCATACCAAACTCAACAAAAACTGAACATCATTTTCTTCCCTAAATAATGACCTTGTATTTTCTGCAAGAGATCAGCTCTATTTAGGACCTTTGCATGTCATTCAAGGTTCCCAAAAAAGTTTAGACCCTTCCCGTATTATAGGCTCATCCAGAGTGCAGTCTCGCCAATCCGATTATCATATCTTTTCGAGCAGAATATTTTTGAGTTTTTGAACGAAATCTTTCGCATAATCATCAGTGGACTCGTTTTTGCACATTCCGATTCGCCCACTTTCTCCTTCTCTACTTGTCTGACTATCGAATGATTGTCAGTTCGAAGGTTTTTGATTTCGTGTCTGAGTGAAAGGTGATTGTGTCTTTGATCGAAAATCAAAGTTTTCGCGGCCACAAATGAATTGTGCATTCTTAGGAGGCTGAACTTCGTCTGAAAATCGGGGATATTTACGAAATGGAAGTATGAGTGGAGATTCAGTCTCGATCCAAGCTTCGAGACTCGCACTCTAGGCGAACCACTTCGTACGGATGATCTTTATCGTATTTATTAGAAATATCCCGTGCGCCGTTAGACCAAACTATTCGTAGCGTTCAAAGTAATTGTATGGAGAGCGAATGCCTATAATAATCGCAGAAATTCCTGCGGGACACGCCGCGATGCTTTGCACAGCTGACTAAACCGTCTCCGTCCATATGTTCGAGTTACACTTCACATTGCATTAGTCATAAGTAACAAAACCTCGTACTGTTAGGATATTGAATGTGCAATACTGTATAGGCAATGAATTTGCAAATCGCTTCTGTGTTGGAGCTTTTGCTGTTCATCTCTTTCATACCTTTGGTCTTCCCTGTCGTCTTATTTATCGCTGTTGGAGACGCAAACTAGTTGGAATTACCAATCGCATTGATTGCTCTTCCTTTGATGCTGTCCGTTTTTTTTCCTTGCGTTTCCTGCTGTCAGATGTTATTATGGCTGTCCGGCTTGTTTATAGGGGGCACCTCGTCTAACGACTAGTTCTTTTTTGTACGTTGTTTTCGTGTGTTTGGCTTTTTATTGGCTGTGTTTTTCACGTTTAGGCGTTAATTAATCGTTAATTCTGCTCTATTTTCGCTTCGTTTCTGATTTTTTGAGTTGGCTTGCCTTTTCATCGTAGGGCTTTCTAACACTTAGCGTGCACGAATTGTTCGAGAATTCAATAACAAAGGATTGTCATCAGTCATCCACACTTGGAGTAGTTTGTATCTCAGGAGCTGTGCTCAAAATATTAGTGGTTATCTGGGAACAAGCGGTAAATCTAACTCATTCTATTACACGAATGTTGTGTATCATTCGCAGTCTTTCGTTAATAATATTATTGGAAAGAAAATATGACGTAGCAGACTCGGAACCCCGAAATCCCAATGAAACTAATTTGTGACGACTAATAAGACTATCGTAATTAGTCTATCTTTTTCTGTTACTCTGATTTCTTTGATACTTTGATTTCTGATACTTCTACTGATACTCCATACCAAGATTCCAGAATGTTCACTCGCTTATCAATTTCTTGGTTCATGTATTCCCAAAATGTTTGCCCCTATATCTTCTTGCAATATTCTTTCTTTATATCAAATTGGCCGTATTTTCGCTCATATTCTCAGAGTCTGCAATTACGACAATATGTGCAATTTCGACAATAGTCAGCCGTAGTCATTGCTGCGCGTCAAGGTCTTTCCATCGTCTTTAGAGCAGCGTTCAAGGAGTGTTCTGGAAAGTGTGATTTTAGCGTACAACGGGGAAGTTGTGGGGTGGAAGGCGATGGGGAAGGTGAAGGGTGCGGTGATTTTTAGGAATTTTAACAAAAAACTGAACAATAAGAGGAAAACCTTTGATTTGGCCTTGAAGTAAAGGGTTTGTTTTTTTGGCTCTATCAACAGCCTGAAGACTCTTATTGTTCAATTTTTTTTTTCGCATTTTGCTTTGCTACTTTCTTTTTCTTATTCGAGACAAATACGGTGATTGATTATTGTATTATTATTGATTTGCTTCCATTCATTTACTAAGCAAAAATTTTTGCTACAGCATCCTCTGTGGAGCTCTGATGATCATGAGGTAGCATATTCCCTTTCTATGCAGGATCTGAGTTGCTCTTCTAGGGTTAAGTGTTTACAACAATTTTCCCTGCCAAACTGTAGTTTTACGACGGAAACGATTTGGCTTTTTTTGAAAGAGGAAGCTTACAGTTTTTCTTGGTCTGCACGACCGATAATGGTCGCTTGAAAGCTTAGCGTAAAAACTGCACTTTCAAAAAAGATTGAAATTCGAAGATAATAGACATGCGCTCATAGAACAGCAGCTACTTTTTCCTAGCAAGCTGTTTTTCTTTTTCAAGAATGCGAGCAGCCGGGACTAAATTTGCAGGCAGCTGACTTCTAAGTTTGCTTTGTAGTTGACCTGAAGTGAGCAGCCTGAAGCGCATAATGTTTGCTCAGTTTTGCCGGATCTCGAGTTTCCAGCTGTTCTTGATGACGTCGTTTTACATCAGTGTTCGAGAAGTTGATAACATTGACAGGTGTTTATATCCTTAGAATTTTCTTCTGCTAAAGATTATGATATAGTAGAATCTTGGCATGTTCAAAAATAACCAATTCCACCATCGGTCTTCCTATTTTCCTCAAAAAGGAATGCTCAGAATTTTCACTTCCATTTTCCGAGTAAGATTCATCGCCCAATCCCTTAGAAATATAAGTCCAGTCTGCTTTCCATACCTGGACCTGATATGTACTCTCTGAAAAAAATCTGCATTTTTTGGTCCCACATTCATTGCGACGGTATAGTGTTTGACAGCAAACCCAAGACCGAGGCGCTCAAGAAGCGCGATTTCTCTGTCTATCACCTATTCAGATCAAAACCTAATTCATTGCTATAGGATTCTGTGACATAAAAGTGTTGGAAGTTACCTGCTGATTTTCAAAGCTTTTGCTGGGAAGCCGAAGGAAATGTTCACGAAATCCTTCATTTGCAATTTCATCGATTTCTAACTTCTGCGTTCACGTTGCAAACTCATTTTGAGATGAGATACCGTGGACACTTGCGAGATCGAGGAGGGTCGCCAAATTTTCAGAATTCACTTGCTTGGCGTAAAAAACGTGCAAGTGACTCGTTTATTTGTAAATAATTGAAATAATTTTGAAAATCTCTCAAAAATTCAAAATAATCTTATAAAAATTTTTTTTGGGGCGTGGCTGCAGCCTTCAGATTTTAGAAGTTATGGGCTCGCAGAAATTTGGAGAACACCCCAAAAAATTTTTCGGAGTGCGGGGCTAACGCCACGCACCGTCATTTAAAAAAAATTTTGCCTGCCCCCCCCCCCAAAGGGAAAGAGACCGCCACTACTATCTGCTATATACCTTAACCTTGCAATATGTCTAACTTCATAAAACAGTGATTGTGTACTATTTTAGTCCATCTGGCACTAATGGCAAAAGAGTATTGCGTCTTCTGACATAAACCAAGTTTTGGTAGACGAAAAGCTTCAGAATCTTCTCCGGCTGGTTTACTAGAGGGATAATTGTTCGAAAATGTAAACAGTTTTGTATGTGCCCCAATTCGAACTACACATTGTGACCTCATGCAATCTATATGCAAATAAAAGCTTCTAACGTCGCCTGGAGAGCAGTTCCTGGATATTTTAAGGGTTCAAGTTCTATCGGGAAAAGATTTTTTTAGTTTTTTTTTTGGATTCAAATAACCCCTGCTTAGTTTGTAGTAGTTGAGTTCCACGTTGATACTATCATCAACGTTGAAATTATCATCAGCTGTGGGTGGCGCTCGTGCTCGTGCAAATGTTGATGCGACCGAGTGCAGACGGCAGCGGTTGTGTTTGCCCGTTGTGAGTGTCGGTCAGTCAACTTTTCTATCTCAACTGTGTAATCATGTTTTCGAAATGTTGAGAGAGTAGGTCGAGAGTAGTTGTCGTTTTCTCCGCTCTACTCACTTTCGCTTTTGGGGGATCTCGCAAGTTTTGCGCCACGCGAACTAGCTCAGGGGCGTTTGGGTTCCAACGATGCTTCTTTGTTATCGGACTCGCGTCTGTTTGTATGGAAGAACGGTTTGCGTAGCGTTTGAAGATCTCGTATGACTTTGCTGGATAGTACGATTTATTTGTTGCTGAGCTTATTTGAGCTTATCACGACCGATTCTTTTTTATTCCACTCTCAACTTCTTCTTCATTCAGATGTTGACCTGTCGAATTTGTAGGGAAATATGATCAAAATGTAATTCCAAATCAGTTTGGCACTGCTTTTTTTGTTTCTCAATCTCCTGTAGTCACATGGTTCACCCTTATCTAGTTAGTCTTTTATGACTCAGGACAATAAAACACACATATTTTGCAGCTCGCGTCTGTTAGACTGTGCATCGTTTAATGGCTGTACTTGCTGTTGAATTGAAGGACTTTTTTACTCCAGTCATTCTACGCCACCACATTTTCTATAGTTTATAATTGCATGCCATACTTTATTTTGTGATTGCCCTCGCATCGTTCAACACATTCTGATTGCTATTTACCAGCTGACTGCTCGACTGACGGCTTCCTATGAACTTACTTAGACTCGACCACATGCATTCGCTTTTTCTTTAAGGCATTCGCTTTTTTTATCATCATCTTTCCTTTTCTAGTGAAGGAGCAGTCGCAACTATCCGTTATTTGTGGATCTGTTGCGGATTGCGACGTAGCGACAGACGAAGATAAGATGGCGGACGATGGATCGGCTCAGGATGAGTCCGTAAGCGGAGGACCAGGACAGGGCTTACCAGCCACCTCACAATCGCAACCGACTCGTCCGCATAGTCCTTTACCGTCGCCCTCACATGGTCATCCGGACCCTTTGATGCCTGTGGCGGAAAATTGGTGTCATACGCAGGTTCGTGGGAATTTTTTAATTTGTTTTCTTTTCTGATTTTTCGAATATTTTTATGATCAAATGGCTTTCCTTGATTTACTGGACCATTATCAAACTTAGACAGTTCTGTGCTTCTTTATCAGTTCCGTTCATGCGAAGTTTTGTGATGAAAATTTTTTTCTTTTTGCTGAATATAGCGTAATCTCTAATGCTGGGCATCTAGATGAAATCAGAGAGTGCTCAATTTCTTCCAGTGCATTACATTCTTATGAAAATTCTAGGTCAAAGTCGTCAAATTCAATTATATGTGGACTATCAACAATTTCTCATTCTGCCGAGAGGAAATGGGAGAGGTAAGCAGAACCCTATTCGTCCTTTCGTTTGATTTGCAATTTGATCTTTAAATTCTTAATTTTCGTTCATGGTACATATGCGTTCCATACGAATATATCCGTTGTTTGTTCGATGAGTCGTTATGTTATATCTATCCACAAAACCTCGAATCCAGATTGGTTCCATGAAATTTGATTTTATAGGTTTTAAAATCGTCGACTTTTTCTGCTGGCGCCAGTGACAAGCTGAAATGGTGCCTGCGCATAAATCCTAAAGGATTGGACGAAGAGTCACGGGATTACCTTTCCCTCTATCTTCTACTCGTACAGTGTGCAAAAAGTGAAGTACGCGCCAAGTTCAAATTTTCTATACTCAACGCTAAACGTGAAGAGACGAAAGCTATGGGTGAGCAAATAGTGTTGACTGTTCTTTTTTTGTGGCTATGGCCGAAGTTCAAACATTCAACGCTTTGTCGCAGAATCTCAACGTGCGTATCGATTCGTGCAAGGCAAAGATTGGGGATTCAAAAAATTCATACGACGAGATTTCTTGCTGGATGAATCGAACGGGTTACTTCCTGATGATCGATTGAGTATTTTCTGTGAGGTGAGCTTTTTCTGCAACAATGCATAACAGCTGCTTTCTTTTTCTTTTCTGTTTTTCCCAAATATATCGTGTCTGAGCAAATTCTGGATCATCCGAGATTCACTTTGTTTACATGTGCGTATTGAAATTGAGGATTGGGTTTAAACATATCATGAAATACCATGGCGCTGCATTACATCTATCATGCGTTCACCTTTGAAGTTTGAAGAAGCGTTCCTTTTGTCAAAACATCTTCTGTCACAGTCCTCTTTAATGATTTTGTAAAAAATACGATAATCAAGTGTTCTTTACCACCGTATGTATACACAATTTATTTTGCTGCAAAAAAGCGACCAGAAATATGGGTTGGTTAAAAAATAAGTTCGGTCGTTTTTAGCGCTTTGTAGAAATGTCACAAATCACTTTTTTGGGTGCGTATAAGGTACCATTGGAAAGAGCAAATCAAGGAGAATCGGATGGTTAACTCTGTTTTCTCAAAAGTAATGCTGATAACGAATAGCAGGAAAGAAGAATGGTTGGATTTTCCGTAAATTTTCGGAAAATCATGCTCCAGAAACCGAACTGAAGTCAGATGTAAAATGTAGATTCGGTGCCCACACAATATGTTATTAAATTTCCAACCATTTGCCTAGCCATAATTGGTCAAATTCTGGATCTGGAGTGATCTGGATTGCCCGAAATTTGAACTCCAAATGCAAATGCCCGGAAATTTCAGATTTTTCGCTGCAGAAATTCACAAACAGCAGGTCACAATCTTCACAGTTCGCGACACCGCCAAATTATTCGCCTGTATACACAGTAGAGGCTGGGAACGAAAGTCAGAAAATCAGTTTAGCTATTTTTAGAAGTCTGACCATTCAAGAGCATAATTGTCGATTTTTGGCGACCTAAAGTCTTGACTACTTGGTATTTTAAAAAAGAGGCTTGAAGCAATTCTCTCACGAAAAACATCTTAGCTGGATAGCTGCTGCTGTGAAGCTATGAATTTGCATGGCAAAACGAAGCCAACCTAATAAATTTATAGCTACTGATTATCCTTAGTCACTCATCTTGCTGGGTTATAAAATTGGTCGACTTAGGAAGCTTCACTCTCCCAGGAAATAAATAATTTTGGGGACCAACCGTGCTCCTTAGGATAGTCTTTTTGATTTGTATGAAATGTCAAATTTTTGTTTGCATGGCTTTCGCGGTGTTCTTTTTCCGGATTCTTTCAGCAAATTTCTCTACTCAAAAATATGTCTGGTGTTTTAATCGTTAGGCTCTCGAGTCCTCTTTGCCTAGATCTCCATTTGTCACTTATTTAGCCAGCTGCCCATAATAGCACCAATATTGCTTAGTGGAAATCAGAAATCTCTGAGTGTTAAAATTTTATCTTGCAAGCTCTGCGAAACTGCAATTAGATTGGAGGTGATGGAGCAGTGAAAATCGTGCGTATTTGTGCTATGGTTTTACTTTTTCTCATTCGTCATACTCCTGCTTTCTATTCCGGCGCAAACATGATTTATATGCTTATAAAAGATGACTTAGCACGATACTCGAGCGCTTAAGTTACATTGAGAGAAACAAGATGGATTCGCAACTTTGCAAACAAGAAAATCTTCCACAGGCACTACACTACTTTTGAGTTCAGGTCTTGAAGATAACAATTGAGCAGCTTTCACAATTCTGTCAAAACTCAAAATTTTTTGCTCTTCGCTTTGTGAGGGCTTGCTCAATCATCCAGTTCCGCGCATCTCAGTCTCTGTCGGCTCTTACTCAACCAATCGCTGCCGCAAGGCTGACCAATCGGAGGCGAGCACTAATTGAGCTGCTATGGCGAGCGGTGCAAAAGGGCCATCTTCCCTCAACCCCCCCCCCCCCCCGCTTCCATGTCCCTTCATGAATTCTATCACCATTTCTTGCGTACTTACAATCAGCTGGTTGGCAAGTACAAACATGTTAAGTAGATGATTGCTTGTCAGTCGTATTGGTATATAAGCTTCATGAGCGGTGAGTTGTCCTTCAATGCTCGCGTGGTCGTCGCCAACGACGGTTGTGGTCCCGTCTGTCCATCAGTGGTGGTATCCATCATGGTCCCCACAGTGCGCTCGTTTGGTAAACATCCAAGGTGGTGTAGTATTCCCGGCCAGTCCCAGTCCACGATACCATCAACAATGGACTCGATGTGGTGGTTCGTCGAATGTGCAAACGTATCTGCAGTGTGCGAGGAATTTCGTTTATACGAAGAAAAAGCGTTATAGGTGGCCGATTCCAGTCTCACCAGAGCAGGTCTTCAGTTACTTCAAAAATAAAATTGCTTGAATCATTGAGTTTTTAAAATTTGCCTAATAGTGGTTTCTTTAGGTTTCGGTTGTTGCGGAAACGGTCAACGTTACCGGACAAACGAGCGCTCAACAGTTCAAGGTAGTTCTCGTATCTTTTTTGGTATAGTAGTTCTTACTGTATGGTTTCAGGTGCCTCCGTGCCGACTTTCCGAAGACCTGTCTGCTTTATTCGAAAGTAAACAGTTTAGCGACTGCACGCTTGTGGCCAATTGTAAATCTAATGGACCGCAAACGTTCCATGTAGGTTTCAGACGAATTTCATGCAAATTTTGCTTTTCGCAATTCCATTTGCGAAAAGGAATGGGAGGCGATAGGCCACAGAATAGCATTTTAGTCATCCTTTTTTGCCCACCACTACTGTGCTTGTTTACTGGGCAAAGTATCGAATTACCCAAGGCTTGCAAATTATCGAAACTGGATCATGTTTACACCCAAACGATGGGATGGCTTAGTCAAAAACTACCACATAATGACGTCTTGGTTCAACGTATCTACCAGCAGAGGGACTACAGCCTGGTATCGCTCATGGTGGAACACGGCTCGAATTTCGGTGTTGACAATCACTCTCGGGATATGCAATCAAGTGCCCACCAACGCGTTTAATTCGCTGATTACAATTTCTTGTTTTGAAGGCATGGTGTACTATAGGTGAAAATCGTGATTCTTTACGAAGGGACCATCCCAAAAAAAACGATTGTTGGTTTGATAACGGGAATACGTGGCGTCGTCTACGTGGTAATGATGAATTAGCAAATTATCGAAGGATTTACCAGGGTAGGGCGCGAATTTGTGGGAAATAGACAGACTGGTTAATTCTCACCATTTGTGCGCATTTATTGCATTCTTATGGCTTATACTGCAAGTAACGTCACTTGTTTTTATAGATTCTCTTCGGTTGTGCCATCCAGCGCAAGCATTCGCATCTGCAGTAGTGATATTAAAACATCAATATCTCCGTCTGGATTATTTGTTAGGCCCCGGGCAGACTTCACGCGATTTGATCGTCGCGACTGAATCGCGACGAGACAACTGATACGAGTTCATTGCATGCCGGCCAGCTTGCATTTCGGTTGTGGTACTTTTCCAGCCCGAAATTTTTGAGTGTGAAATGAAAATGAATGGAAATCTTGGCGATTAGTTCGCGACGATTAAGTCGCGTGAAGTCTGACCGGGGCCTTACTCATCAATAGATTGCAAAATCGACCTCTGGGTGCTTTTTCTTACAATAGTGTGCTATCAAGTTCAAAATGGGGACTATCTTTACCAGCGTGCTATACCTTCTCGAGTGAAATTTGGTAGGTATACTATGAGGGCCAAAATTTTGAAAAATGCCGTTTAGGCAACGCCTTAGTATGCGCCACTGTAAGTGTAAGCAGAAAATCCCATCATATTTTCTACTGTGATTAATCACAATAATGAACGAATGAGTCATCTGTTTCGTGCGAACTAATCTTTCTTCACATTTGTTAAATGAGTATTGTCACCCTTGATCTAAACCTAACGTAATCTCACTAAAAAGACCCTTGGACATGCGGTTCAGTTGCTGTTATAGTTAGCATGCAAATAGCTTACATAATTACGACCAGGCGATTTTTTCCATTTCTGCCATTTGGGCCGAAGTCGTTGCCCCTGTTTCAAATGTAGCCCACCGGTGGGCCCTAGGGCCGAAAGCCTATTAGAGTTTTCTCTAGGTGTCCCCCTTCATGTTGCAGAATTTCGTGCTCTTATCGTAAGCTAGCTTCTTTAAAGCCATGACTCACCAGTGGATCGCACCTGTTCTGCCATTTAGGACAACACGACCCACCGATGGGCCGTGTGTTTAAATGAGCAAAAGGCGAAATCTAGGATTAGCTACGGTATAATTAGCGCCTTGGAATGTTCACACATATCTTCGTTGGTAAAAAACCAATCCCGGACAAAACAGAGTGTCTCTTCTCTGTCACCGGTTTCGAATGTGATATCGTGAACTAACGGTATACGCATCTTGTTCTAGAAGTCTTGTGCTCCTTGAGCGGAGTGTAAGAATCCTAATGAATTATATCCGTCACACCTTGATACGGTGTAGATCGTCATAATATATGGATGTTTTGGGAATTCTTATACTATACTTGCTATGGTTTACCCTTCTTCTAGACACTTCTTCTTATTTGACATTTTCAGGTGCACAAAGCGATTCTCGCTGCCCGATCGCGTGTGTTCCATGCAATGTTCGAGCACAATATGACGGAATCGGAGCGAAATGAGGTCGCGATAGACGATGTTGAACCAGACGTAAGTGATTTAGCGTGTAGTTTACTTCAAACCCTTGCATCGTAGTTAATCTTTTGTTCGCTATCGCTGAAGTTGTGTAAGTTTCCATTGCACAAGTGGCTGCATGGAACCGCAAAGTTCTCAGTTTTGCTTAGAGTGAGACAGTCTCTATAAAAATTACTGAAGAAATATGTGAGCTCTTTGTCGATTTTGAGCCATCCATTTACTCAGCGAGTCCCAACTCTGTTACTACTCGGAAAGTTCGCAGTGAGGGCAAGGTCGTTTCGCTACCTTCATCGGTCATCTTGCTGCGATTCCATTCGTCAAATGGGGGAGCGAATTAAAATAAAAGGGATGATCTCGTATATGCCTTCGCATCAGAGGGTCTGATCCTAGATTTGAGTAAAGCTTTGACTTCACTAACGGCTCGGATTCCTAATCGGGGGGGGGGGGTTAGATACCCAGCCAAGGTGCGAAGATTCTGAGGGACTAGAAGTGCGGCCTTCTTTGTTTATCGAAAACTTTGTTTATACTAGTTGACAGATAGTTGTATATCAGAACGCCGAAAGGTAGTGGCTTTTGGCAGTAAATATTTGATAAGAATTCGAAGTCTGATGTCCGTTAATTTGATTTTGAAATATAGGTTAATCCATAATAAGAGCTATGTTCCTGTAATGAGTAGGCGTATGCAGCTATTGTCTGCTTGGGGAAAGTTGCGATCACCATAGTATGAGAATGTGTTTTTCTTTCGGTCCTTACTTTACCTAAATACGAGTTTTGCGCTCATGGAGTAATAAATCGGAATTACCATACTTGAGTTTTGCGCTCACTCGAATGAGAAATAGAACAGAGATTTTGCTCAAGAATTATTTGTCTGTTGTATCTCTATGTAACTCTGTGATAGTGCATTTAGCACCACCACATGAAGCATAATCTGTGAGCTGTGTGCAAGATACCAGTGGGGAGCACGTTTTTCGCCATGTGCTATAGCAGAAACGGAAATCATCTTGCTATTGTGGTCCTTTTACGGCTTCAAAATTTTTTACTGTTGATGTTGGTTGTCATCGTACAAAAGGAAGAAGGGAAGACAATAAATGTAAATTGTAAATCTGAAGTAAAAATTGAAAATTGAAAAGTTTCTTGAATTGTATTTTTTAAAATAAATTTCATTTTTTCAGGTGTTGCGAGAAATGCTATGTTTCATGTACACGGGGAATTCACCGTGTGTTGATCAAATGGCACAACATCTTATTGCTGCAGCTGATAAATATCATTTGGATCGTCTAAAGGTAGAATGATGGTGACTTGCCTAATGCACCTATAAATTAGTATATTTTTTGTAGGTGATGTGCGAACAAGCCCTCTGTGCAGCGTTGACAGCCGAAAATGCATGTGTCACGTTGGTTCTGGCTGATTTATACTCCGCTGAGCAGCTTCGGACGCATGCAATAAATTATATCAATGTGAATGCTACGGAGGTGAGAAGATTTTTGATTCTTTCTTTTTTAGAGAAAGTCAAGCTTTTTTGTGGCTTCATTGTGTTTCTTCTTTTTCTTTTACTTTTCTTGATTTTTACTCCGCGTATATTTGTTCTTGCAGGTAATGAACTCTGAGGGCTGGAAAGATCTAGTAAAAGAACACCCTACCCTGCTTGCCGAGGTCTTCAAGGCGCTCGCCACCCAACAAACCCCACCTGTTGTGTTGGCTGCCCCTCCTAAAAAGCGGATCAAACATTGCCCGTACTGAAAAACCGACAACAGTTTGTTTGTGTTGAGTATTCTGCTTACGTCAGTTTCATTTGAATTTTGCTTAATTGTGTAAGAAATTTGTTCGCTGCGAGTGATAAAGTGCCTCTAGTGTTAAGTCATGGAGAAGTTTTCAATTGCATGAGATTATCGATCTTTCTCAGCCAGCCTCTCCGTGATTCTCTTGATTTTCTCTCCCCCGTATTCGAGGCTGGCATCCCCCCATATTCTAGCTCATAGGCTCATTCAGCGTTATCATTTTGTTTTATGTTCAGGTATTTATGTTTTTATGCTAGTTGTTGGCGATATTCGATTTTGATGTGTGGTGTTTTGATGTTCGTTTCGATCATATATCGACTGCGGGTGCATTTCAATTACTTTTTTCTCTCGTGTTCTATTATTTATGACGATAGGCTTAACCGGTAGATTCGTGCAAGATGAGTGTGTTATTATGCGCTCTTATTTGCCATGTTCTGCGGATTTGATGCTTTGCTGTTTCGAAAAAGAACAAATGAAGCTTTGATTGAACTAGTCTAACTTTCGAACCTTTTATTTGCGACTGGAGAAGGTCCGCTGATTACATGCACCAAGTGAAATAAAGCTCTATTAGACCTTTATTTATCTTGCTCTCCATCAGGAATGTGCCTGCACTCACAAAACTAACAAAATCTGTCATTCTGTCAATATCGCGACATCAAAGATTAAAACGATATCTTTTGTATTTACGCTCGACTAGAATTGAAATACTATAAAAGGGGGATGGAGAGGGGAGATGGCGGGGAGGAATTATGATTTTTGGAGAGTGCTTTCATAAATTATTTCGGATGATTGATTTGTGAGACACAGTAGATTGCAAAGCACCTCTGTTGCAGTTAATGGTAGAGAAATTTCAAGGAAGTACTCTAGGTTTTTTTTTTTGAGATCGATCAGTCGGCTACGTGAGTACTCTCTTTGAAGAAAAATGTTTCGAGTGCGCTGTGAAAATTGCAGTATTCCAAAGTTGGCGAGGGGAGCTATAATGATGGTTGCTGCTCTCATGCACAGATGTGATCATACCAAGATAAGAAGCTGTTTTTTTTTGCTCAAGCAAAGATGTCAATATTTGATTATAATAGCTGACAAAGTTTGTGCGGCTAATTTCTCGATGACCTTGAAAATGGTCTTACCGCTTCTTATAAAGACTGTTATAGCAAAAATTGGCCAACCCAGTACCCCCTATTGTTTCTTAATGCAGTTTCGCTGAAACAATTTTATGACCGAGCATTTATAGTCAGAAATCTCCTTGGCCTTTATTATTAAAAATCATGACTCACTTGGAATTCAGTGAAAAAGGCACAAGCTTTACGTTATGTAGCCAATAAGTTGTTGTGCAGCAGGGGAAAGCTTGAGTTTCACAGGAAATTTTTGCTAGAATATATTGCAAACAATTTGATAGTACACACTTTCTAGCTCTCTTCAAAGAAGCCAGAAATTGCCTTTGAATGTTTGATTTTTCTCGCGAGAGGACAAATAGAGGATGAATATCCGAAAAATCAAAAGTTATTCATAAAACGACTATAGCAAGCATTTTTCCTTTGGAATCAATTCAGAAGCTTGTGGAAGTCTGTTCTTATTAGCATTTTCTAGCGCAACACTCGTACAAACTTCAGACTTTATACAATTTGCAGAACATCCTTTTTTGCGATGGATTGGCGCAAGTAGAGTGAGAATAAGAAATTGTGATCTGGCCTTTTGATTCTATACGCACGGAAGCTCTAAATGAAAAGAGTTCTAACAAAACGAAGCAAAACTAGTACAGATAATAAGCGGAGTTCTTAGAAATATTTTCCGTTTTGAATCAGATCCTTGAAAAAGAGGTATGAATCTGCATCAATTCTGCTACAACCTAAAAACTGAAAAAAAACGAAGTTCCATGGTATGAAATGAAAGAAGTGATTTGCTTCTCGAAAGCGTCATTTCATTCTTCTACCGTCTGCTGTCCACGAACTACTTCACTCGGCGTGCGTAAAGTCGACTGCATGAAATCGTCCATATCGCTGTAGCCTGAACGCCTGCAAGCGTGCCTGCAAAGCGACTGCTGAGTACGGGTCTTTGACTCATGCGCTAATGCCGCTTAACCCATGAGAGACGATCGCGGGCGTTCAACCCGAGCGATTCCAGCCCACTATAGAAAAGCCATGAAATTAAGAAGAAAGGCAGCGTTTCCAGCGGTGCCCCGTCTTTGGCGAGACCCATACTTTCATTGATAGTGAAAAGAAAAGCAATTATTTGGGGGGGGGGGGGCAAGAGTATAGTTGAATTGCATATGTGCAACGCTTTTTTGACCACCTTCGATACGGAAAATGTCTTTATTTACAAATATGTACAAAGTCACTGCGTGACGTCTATTTACATAAGTAATAGGATAATTTTGCATAAATTACATAAACCGGTATGCACATGATTATGCGCGTTGTTCTACAAATCAGAGCTCTGACTCTGCGAACATTCAAAATCAGATAAAGCATCGAGGAAATCATAAAACTTTGGTGACGATCATTGCTGTGGAGTTGGATTCGCCGTCCCCTCTGTGAGTCTGTTGTGGTGCAGCTTAGCTTCCACCCAGATCAGTCCTTTCAGTTCCTCTTTAGGGAAATTGTCCAATTCCATCTCGTATGTGAGCGGCTCCTCACATGCTGGCTGTAAATTTGTAACTCATTGTGACAGATGTGACAAATAGAATCATCAACCAATCAGTAAACAATCTGCAAATTTGTGTAATCAGATTAGAACTCATGATTTGATTATACGTATCTGTAGCTTTTTGCCATAAACAGAGTACACGTAGGAAGAAACAAGAGTGGAGGTACTTCAAGACTTTTCTATTCTGTTTTCTTTCGCAAATATCTGTTTTCTCAAGTTTCCCACAAATCGATGAGAAGGATCAAAATGTTTTCTGCAATTCAGCTATGCCTTGCTGTAAAAGCAAATAGTTCTTTCGATATTTCATGATCGCCGATATTGATGCGAAAGTTATATCTTCTTACATTGAGTCCTTGCATTTCAATTCGGGATTAGAAGTGAGAGCTGCTGATTGGCTGATTTTGGTTGGCCAGTCAAGCAGTCCCTTGATAAGTGGGCGGAACCAGTCTAAAAACCCGTCCAGATAAAAGGGAATCAACAAGCTTCCCTCATTTTTGTTGAAAATTATCCTTGAGAGCAGGGATCTCTTGCATCGTAAAACTCGTCGAAGCAAGCAGATGGGCAGATGTTCTCTTAGATAATGATGCTTTTTCAGCCATCGTTCGATAGTATACAAGGTACAAAAAGCTTTTTGTATACAGCAAATTCCAGCTGAAAGTGGCGATATCTCTCGTGTCAAGGATACTATCGTCTAGAGTTAGGGAATGTATGCAGCGTTTGCTTTAGCTGTTCGTTTCGTGCTCGTGATTCATGGAGTGATTAGAAAGAAGTGAAAAAGCTAGAAAAAGTACAGCAAGTGCGCGTTCAATGAATGATTCACTCTGCTTATGAATCAGATGGCGGAATGAAATATAACTTGGAATCTATTCAACATAAAGTTGTTGAAAAAAAAAACAAAAAACATTGAGAACTGCTTGCTAACAGTACTTATTAACGACCAAAGGTTCCCGAAAAAAGTAATTTTCTACCAATTCTTCATTTCTCTCTCTTTGATCCCTTGCCTTTCCAATTGTAATGGCAATGACGTTCAGACCCTATCTTCTAGAAATTATAGATTACTTGGTCTGAACTTTTTACAGTAATAGAGGCATCATTAGTAGAACTTTTAATGTCGCAGATGAGTCATATGCCAGAAACTCCTTGCCAGTACTGTTAGCAAGCAGCTCTCAGTGAATGTTGAATAGATTCCAAGTTATACGCTAAACTTTTAGCAGATCAGGGTCGGGTTTACAAAATGGCTGCGCATTAACTGTTGAGGATATGCGTGACAGACAATCTTAAAAAGTGGAGATCCTTAGAGCACGTACCTCTTCGTTTGGATCGTAATATTCGGAGAGATAAGGATGTGCCAAAGCCTCTTCCACCGGAATTCTGAGAAAAATATTGCATTCAAACTGTTTCCCCAAATTTGAAGAAATTACAAACCTCTTGTTAGGATCGAATGTTAACATTTTGTCCAGTAAATCTAAGCAGCTAGGGTCGGCTTCTGGATATAACGCTGACCATTGTTGTTTTGGTCGTTGTGGTAGAGATTTCAGATAGGATCGTGCCTGAATGATTGGGTTAGAAGGGCTTATAGATAGGCAATACGGTAGAAAACTCACTTTCTCATTCATTATACATCGCAAATCTTCTTCTGAAGGAGATCCGACCACAGCCAAGATGAGATTCAGTTGATCTAAGTAGTGCTTTCCAGGAAATAATGGACGATTGTTCAGCATTTCAGCCAATATGCAACCAACCTGCAGATACCAAAGTGTTTATTTCAACCTCATAAGTAATTCGAGTACTTACCGACCAAACATCCATGGATTTCGTGTATCCTTTAGAGTTCAGCATCACTTCTGGCGCTCGATACCACCTGCAATCAAATGCATTTAGAACGAGATTTACTCGAATATGTGGAGCAAACCTAGTCGCTACATATTCGGTTAGAAATCCGGTATGATCAGTTCGAGGATCGCTAACACGAGCCAAGCCAAAGTCGCAGATCTGCAGTTTTCTAGTATCCATGACGAAATTGAATTAAAAGCTTGAAGAAGCAATGTATGACATTGATAGATAACACTACTGCTGTTGCAGCACGTACATCTAATGAATGGATTTTTTGTCAGCAGCTACCGAACTGGATTTTTTTGTTACTAGTCTTTTGAGTGACTGACTTCAATTTTGTGTCTCAGCTTCGGAAGCTTTCGCTTTTTCTCTTCTCGGTGATATTAAGGCTGTTTGGAAGAGGTTGCTAAAGCCAATCAGATCAGATCTAATCAGCCAATGAATGATCTATCGTTCTAAGATGGACAGAACCACGGAAGCAGCTATTTTTTTTAGCCAATTGCTGGATTTTTTTTCATTTCCTACCTTCAGATCACATGTTGCATTGAGCAGCAGATTGGAAGGCTTTAAATCCCGATGCAACACATTGGCCGTGTGGATATACTTTAGTCCGCGAAGGATCTGAAGTAGGTTAGGTAGAAACGGTGGATCTGGACCGACAAAATACGTTAAAAATAAACTGACCTGATACAGGAAGAAGCATACATGATCATTTGATATTGTTTGGGTTTTCAGCAATTTGTAAAGATCCGTGTCCATCAAACATTGCACTAAATATCTGAAAAACAGTGACATTAAACGCAGCGTCCAGGCAAGTCTGGACACATGGGGATCTCATGTGGATAGTAATTTTGGGGCCCTAACTACGTCACTGCCCAACCGGCAACTCAGGTAGTGCTCTAACGGCTGAGATATCGCCCTCGAAACTGGACCCCGCGATCGTATTTCGCATGGATTCATGGCGCAAAGCGTGGATCCTGGCGCGAAACTGCCATGAATTCATGCGAATACGATCGCGGGGTCCGGTTTCGAGGGGAATATCTCAGCCGTTAGAGCACTACGTGCGCTGCCGCTTTCAGTGCCTTAGTTAGGGCCCCAAAAGTACTTCCCAAGTAAAATCCCCATAGGTCCAGATCTGCCTGGACGCTGCCTTTAACTGTATACTTCTACTTAGCAATTGAAAATCTGAATAATCAAAATAAGCAGTGATTTAAAATATTTCGTACAAGAAAGAAGTTTGCTACGTCAAGAAACTACCAATTTCCGTTCAAAAGTTAAGTAGCTATCGGAATATACTCTCCGACTCAACGGGATTGGCGGCTGAAAGGCGGGGCTTTGAGGCCTAAACAAGGCTGGAATGACGAGAGAGCGCATGCAAGAGAGACGCAGACTGCGCCGCGGTTGCGAGCGGTCGCCTTTCAGCCCCAATTCCGTCGACAAAGGTATTACCGAGAGACCGAGAGGTGGTTCAGAAGTCTGATTTTGGAACCTTTTTGAAGCAGAAAATTCTATTATCTTCCCTTGCATGTCATGAAACTCATGAAATCTGTTTAAACGAGTGGTAAATTTTTTGCTTGTTCTCAGGATTTTTCATTTAGATAACCAATAATTAGCTACTAGTGGCCGCTTAGTCAACGAATGAAAAAAAACTATTCTAATTCTTGAAAAAAAAAAGGAATTTCTCATGCATATACCAATAGTGTTGTTGTAGGTTGTGCAGAAGAAAATGTCAAAAATAAAAAGCGATACTTCCCTTCTGACACTCCTATAATTCTCCACTTTGACAGGCCCTTTTTGGTCCCCACTTTTCTGTCATAGAATTCAAACTATTGTTCATTTGCTTATTTACTACATAAGTGCTTGTATTACAGTGGGTTTATTACACCATCAAAAGTTTGAAAGGCACTCACATGTCTTTCATAGTTTCCACTGAATCTGAACAGATGATATCCTGGATATTGATTATCTAGAAACATCTATACTTTAAGCAGAAAATCAGTTTCAAAGTCGTACATTTTCGTGTTTGAACCGTGTAAGTATCTTGATTTCCCGTAGTGTTCGTTGGCAGTAGGTCTGATGTTCGAACGGTGAGATCTTCTTGATGGCCACTTTTTGCTGGGTGTGCGTGTCGAGCGCCGAACTGTAACGATCGTGTTCAATGTTGCGAAACAGTCAAGTATTTAATTCGATGTCTCTGATGTCATTATGGGAGCAACCACCGAAGGTCTACCAAAGTTCTGCATTTAAAGTGGGCGTGATTGATTTTTTATGGGGAAAGGACTTTCGCTACACTGTGGTCACTTCATTTGTGCAACTACACACATGCGCGCTATCCCAGATAAAACAACGGGATCGCCTTTCTTTTTTGAGCACCTCCATAAGTTTTTTCATGTCTAACCTTAATTCTTTGTTCTTTCCTGGCATCAAGAAAATCGCACACAGGATAAGTGATTAGACAATACACAGAAACACAAAAAGTCACGGTATGAGGAATTTAGTTAGATGCTCTTCAAATATTTTAGCAAGCTCATACAAGTACTTTCGTTCACAAAAAAGCATAATTATGTGCACAAAGAAATGAAAGTACCTTTTGCTTCAACCAGATCGGCGGCTGGAAGGCGGACTCCGTGACCTAATCAAGGCTAGAAGATGATCAGAGAGCACGTTCGCGAATGAGGCGCAGAGTGTGTCGCGGAGGCGAGCAGTCGCTCCCTAGGTCATGAAGCTCCGCCTTGCAGCAGCCAGTGTGGTTGAAGCGAAGGGTATGCGATATTGATGCGATATACTCGACAGAATTTGCAGAAAATTTCGCGATTAAGTTTTGAGCGAAAAAATTGAGTAACTCCCTTATTTTATTTCGAATTCAAACTGAGATTATGGCCTAATCGTACTAACACTTATACTGGAAGAAATGAGAGATGTGAGGTGAAGATTTCTTCAGAACCTCTTCATGTTGTTACTGAAGCTATTATACTAATCTCTGACCTACTTGATGATAAGTAGGGTGGCTGAGCTTGGATAATTGATATACTATGGATTTACATAGCTTCGATGTGTCTTCTGAGCTAGGACACATGGATATATCTTGATAAAAAAGCTCCCTATCAAACTCCTAAGTTCTTTGGGTATTTTCGTGTTGGTATTATTCATGTCTTAACGCTTTGGAGCAATAGGAATGATTATTGTACCAAAAAGCACTTTGAAAAGAAGAGAGAATAGAGTTTGGTTTACCACATTAGAGATCTCAAATCGTTCTTTTCTCTCATGTAGGAGCCATTGAGACTCCGACAAAGTGGCTGGTGATTGTCAATCAAGCAAATTCTTTGAGTAACAAGACAAGAAGTAGAAATCTGCATAATAGGAATCATTTAGTGCAGTTCTTAATCAGTTTTTTAAGTAGAAAATAGATGAAGTAATGCAGAAAACTGTTGGAGAATGAGGGACCTTTTATGTTAAACTCTTGTTTTCTCAGAAAAATCATGTATGGACATTGAGACAAGCATGAGAAAATTCCTAAAAACTTACGCAACCATTCCATAAGCGCCTTCGCCAATATAGTTGAGATTCACATATCGTGGTCCGACTTCGAAAATCTGGCCGTGCACTTCTTCGGCACCATTTGGAGACTCTTCGTCGCTCATCTGAAAATAAATCTCAGTCTGAAACCATAGTACAGTATATAAAGAAACCAAGAGGCAGCAGAGCTAAAAAGCGCGAAAGAATTCTTTTCGAATAACGCAAAACGAAACAAAAGAAAACATCTTCAGATCGGAAGAAAAGGTCGAAAGCACTTCGGTCCGTATGAGTCACAATGAGAAACACATTGAAATCGTCTCTCTCAACTTCTGCGTCATCGTTGCAGATGTTGGTAGAGGCTAGAAAACAATCACAATGGGATCGTTGCACATTACAGACCGAGCCGTCAAAAGACTTTGGATCAGATTTCGTTCATTAAGAGCGAAGATTCAGTTTCATAGCATTATTCGTATCTTCCATCAAAATGAGCAATTTTTAGAAGAAAAAGCCTTCAAAATGATCCATGATTCCCAAACGCGTCGTAAGAATTGTAGTTAGAATTCGTATTCTTCTTGGAAAAAACGCTGTTATTATTCCAGTTTCAACAATTACTCCCTTATCAGATCTGTAACTTCCCAGGAGGATCAACCTGTTGCTCGAGAATCTAATTCTGCACAACAATGCAGCTGTCTAAAAATTTAATTCTGTTTTATCTCAAAAATGCGCTAAATAACAAATACAATAAATAAGTATACGAATATGAACATGTGGAAGTGAACCAACAGAGGACACAGAAATAATTTTCCGGCAGATGGAGAGAGTGGGGGGGGGGGGGGAAGGGGGAGCGTGAACAAGTGAATGGAGGATTGCAGAAATAGATCTGAGAATGGACCTGTGGCAATCAGGGAATTTTTTCTAAGGGAGGGGGAGGAAGGGGGAACAACAAAAAAATTTTCAAGAAAATTCTCTACACGTTTCACAATTATTCTCACTTTTTTCGCAAGCCTATAACTATCAAAATGCAATCCAAAATTTTTGAAGCCTCAAAAGTTTATAAAATTAGTTTGATCAACAAATAAAGTGATTCGTTTTGACGATTCTACAAGGCGATAGGCTATCCTCTAGTTCGGCACTGACCTGGACTTTTCAAATGATGAAGGAAAATCCTTTACATTTATCAAACGTACTACATCGCTTTGAAATTCATTTTAGCAGCGCAGAATGAAATTTGCTAGAGATTGATCCGCTTTGAATTTTTTTCTATTATTGCTTGGTGGAAAAAGTCAAAAATCATACAGAATGCAAGACTTATTGGTGATTTTCATAATATGGATTTCAAATTAGAATTTTACGCATAAAATATACGATAAAAGATAACTTGAGCAACACATGTGGTGTCAATTCGACTGTCTCGTTGCATCTTTTCGTTTTTGACATTGACATTGATTTTCTCTTTGCAAGAACATTGGAACAAAGTGCGAATGTGACGGAAACGAATGATTGACTGTGATTTACTGAAAAATAAATAAATGATTCATCATCTTTTTGTTGACGCTGCGGTTATAGGAAATAGTTCAAAATCCAACTGCTACAAAGCGAGACAAAAGATAAATGACAGACGCGGAGTACTCAAGACAAGTTTGATTTCTGAACTCAATAAACTCCTTTCGCTTCAACTAATCTGAATATGTGAATATGTCTCTCACGAGTGCATTGGACAGCTATGTAATGATAAACGAGAGCCTATCACGAGACTCACCCTAGTTACAGGGGCTATAGCTTCTTATACTTTCGGGACATCAATACTGACATCAATGCTGCTAATTAACATAGCCAATTCCAAAGATCTATCTATTTATTCATTTATTGCATAAGGATTTCTCTGTGGTGAAGCTCATTAACAACAAAAGGCACGTGAAATAAACTGAACACAACAAAACAACCATTCGAACTAAACAAACCCTATAAATACGTAAAAATAGAGTTCAGACAAGTTCGAAAAAATTTCCATGCCTGGCAAGAGGAAAGAAAGCATGATTTTTCAAGCGTCCTAGAACTACACGAACTAGCGGGGAATAAGAATTTTTCGAGGAAAGGAGAATCTTGCAATTTCCCTTCAGAAAAAAAACTACTGCACTATCTTATCAGGATTTTTCTATTGAGGTAACTTCTTATTGTATGGTTATTACAACAGAATGCGTCCATTTTTGCAGGGTTTCCGAAGCTCGCGGGATTCACGGGATTTGCGGGATTTACCTCTAAAGTCTCTTACAGCATACATTTCTGCATATTAGCAAATCTTCGAAAAACTTGTAGGAAAGATTGGGAAAGAGAATCATTCGATTGTCCCATGCGGTCTCTGAATTCATATGTGGTCCATTCTATAATAAATATTAGAAGGTAGAGAGAAATCGCGCGAATCCAAGGATCGCGCAAACACCATGAAACCGTGATTCCCGAAAAATTCCGGCAGATGTGGACAGATTCCATTGTCAAAATTGTAAAAACCATGATATTTTGAGAAAATCGGGATGAAGGCATCTTGATAACAAAACCTGCCCACTTTTCAGAATTATTTTCAAAAATTTTCTTTTCAGTTTTTACCTTTTCGATTTTTGGATTTATTGATCTACAAAAGTTACTCAAAACATCCCCAATATGCAACATGTGCAGAACGGCCTATCAATCAGTTTCGCTTGAGTTTTTTACATGAAATAAAATATTTACTCTGAAAAAAAAACCCACTTTCTAGCACCTCTCTCATGTTTATGAGTGGGCGTATTCAAGCCATGAAAAATTCAGACTTAACTAGGAGAAGAGTCTTTATAGATACACTATGTACTCATTCTATCGGGACACCAAAGGTACATACTAAGGAGTTCAACTTGCAAAAGAATATGGTCGTAATTAGCTCATTAATATTCCTAAGCGAGATGTATTTATTTACTAACTTATTTATTATGCACAGGGGTGCCATAACTAGAGCAAAGTACTGACAAGGGAAGTCACTTAACTAAGGTCGGACTTTTGAAATGAGACACATATATTTAGAAACAGCTCGGAACGCTGATTCCAAATATGCTATCATTAGCTGCGAAGCGTTCCTCTGAAGCAAGTTATGAGCTTTTTTAGTATGTATCATTGACATATAACTGAATATGGAAAGAAGGTCTTTAGATGAAAATCTGCCCAAAAAGTGGTGGAAAGTCAAAATAACATCAAATTGAGTCATTTGGCTTTGATAGGGTATGATATGCATTTGAACCACTACCTAGATGATGATACAGTAGCATGCCCAAGTCGGTCAACACACAAAATTTGCTCAGGAAAAAGCTCATAACTCGCTTCAGAGGAACGCTTCGCAGTTAAGGAAAGCAGATTTGAAATCAGCGTTTCAAGCTGATTCTAAATATATGTGTCCCATTTCAAAAGCCCGACCTAAGTTAAGTGACTTCCCTTGTGAGAACATAACCAGGCAACAAATACAAAAAAAAAAAACAAAAAACATTCAACAAGTTATCTCAAGTCCAGTAACCAAATAGTTATGAATGAAATAAGGAATTAAGCTTGTATTGATTAAGTATGAAATAATTACTCAAAATAATGGCTAAAGACTCGGTGGAGTAGCTAAATAGCAAACTATCATAGTAACTTCTATATGATTGTAGCACACTTTGATGACAACAGATTTGCGTTCAGGTGATGAACACAAATCCTGAATTGACTCAAAAATCATTCACTTGCAGGCTTTTATTACAACCACAATTGTTACTATTTATTTTTGCAAGAAGTCCGAAAAAAAGAAGCTTAAAACGAAGAAAATGAAATACCAATTTGTCTCAACTCATCAGTCTCAAAAGTTTTGCAGCAATTTTTTTTTGAAACCTTCGAATTTCAACTTAAAATTGAGAATTGATTGGGGAGAGAGTTATTCATTATCATTTTAGGGATCATGCCAAACTTATTGCTGACTACGGTGATACAAATTAGGAACCGCTTAGAATTGGTGGAAACTCAAATAAATTTGATTTTATTCCAGTTTATGTATTTCAACGTGCTCTTCCCAAATAAGTAAGATCTGAAGTCTCAACATCTCTAAATCCATAATTAATGAAAAACTAGCTAGCAAACCCGGCTACACACACCCATGTCAATAGAATTTTCGTAATCAGGTTGTTTCCCCAGTACCAACTTTCAGCCCGTAGCTAAAGTTTCGCAAAGAAATCGATAGAAATCGATAAAATCGATATCCATCAGTGATGAGAATAGCCTACGACACCTCATCCCCCCGAAGGGCTGTGCCAAGTTTGGTATCGGAAATAGAAATTTCGTAAATTAAAAAAATTCGTAAGATATTTATATATATATATCATAATTATACGTACATATAGACATACAGACAGACAAACAGACATTCAGCTTTACATATAAGATTTTTGATCACTTTTCATTTTATTGACAAAACCTCTAGTGTTTACTATGAGATAAAGAATTAATTATACAGAGAGGAAAGTGTACTATAAGACTGACTACCCTTATAAAATGCCCAACGGATTTTACATAATTTTCTTGGTGCAAGACCATTGGAACAACTACTATCAATTATTCCTCATGGGCTCCGTTTAGAAAAAAACATTCAAATGAAAATAATGGATTAAGTTCTGCATCCCCACCTACTGTGCGCTTACTGTTTAAATACTGGTTATCACCCCAAATTTCTTTAACGCTCCATAACATTTGTACATTCATGGAGGAATACCGTATAATTATTGCCCAATCCTCACACCGAGCTTTCTCGTGCAAGCTGCAGCTTTCAACATAGCCTTTCAACAAAGAAAGGTGTAGCTCGAGTTCTCAAAGAATAAACTATAATTTAGCCATCAACCCAATGCTTGCCCACGCATGAAACTAGCATATATTTTATTTTCGAAGAAAGGGCAATGTGCTTAAGGAAAAGTGCAGGCAAATTGCTACTATAATATAATAGACCACTATGTGGGATAATATTAGGCCTAGGACGAAGACTGCTGACATAGCAATGCGACAGAACACTTAGATTCTAGGATAAATTAGACGCTCTGAGAGCTACGACTCAAGACCTATAACCACTGAAAATAGTTATGTCAATTACA